GCAGGGGTTAATGCCCCCCATCACCCACCTTCCCAAAAACACACGCGCTTCCAGGGCCCCCTGGCGCTCAGGGGTATTAACCCCCATCATCCTCCCATCTTCCCCCCATCCCAAAATCAGACACGTTTCCAGAGCCCCCCGGGGGTTCAGAGCCTGGGGATGGGAGTCCCCTTTCCCCCCGAATGCGGGGCTACGCGGGGTAGCACACAGACAGACAGACAGACGGACTGACCGACAGACACCCCCCCACACACACACAGGGTTGTTTGTCCTGCGGTTGCTGCAGGGGTTGGTGGCACCCCCCAGTCTGCCCTCTATAGCTAAAGGGGACATCCTGCACCCTCCCCAAATAAAACTTGCTGTGAGTGTTTCTCAGGGGGTCTCACCTCCCCAAACTGTGCCCCGACCCTGCTCCTGCAGGGGGGCAGGACAGGGCAGCTTCCCACTGGGGCATTTTGGGGTGAGTGAGTGTGACAGTGAGACAACCCCAGTTCTCCAGTGAGAGCTGCACTGGGTATAACCCCCCCTTTCTGCAGAGTCTGGGCCAGTTCACCCCCTTCCTGGGATTACTGGGGTACACCTGACCCAGCCCAGGTCCTGCCCAACCCTCACACCATGGCAGGGTCCTCCCCAGCCATGCCACCATGGCAGACTGGCACCCCTAAAGTGAGTTTCCCTGCTCTCCACCCCACACCTGCACCATGCCCTGCAGTGGCCCACTGCAGCCCCCGCTCTGTGCCCCACACTCAGCTCTCCAGTGCCACCAGTATCACTCCTGAGGCCACACTACCTCCCACAAAGCCACAGATGCCCTGTGGGGGTTTTGGCTCAGGCCCGAGGAGGAGCCAGGCTCACTCCCAACCCTCTCTGCACCATCACCCAGAGATCCCCAAAATATGGGAACCTTCAGCAAGGGGCAGCCAGACACCCCTGCCTTCGGGTGGGCAGCCCTGGCAGAGAGCAGGAGATGCTCAGATGCCCAGTGTGTCACCTGAGGGTCACTTTGATGACAGGCCACACCATGGCACTGGGAAATGAGGATTCTGTGAGATCCTCCCCTTAAATCCCAAATGCTGCTTGAGGTAGGAGCCAATTTAGGAGCAAAATGTGCCACAGTCACCCCTCTGTCCCCATTTCCAGGCCTTTCCCCTGTCACACACTGACTCAGCTTGTGAAGGAAATGAAGGTCAGAGACACTCCTGGAGTCTTTTGCTTTGCCATGGACTTTATTTGTCAAGAACATGTGACACGGGTTTGCCTTTCCTTTCTGAATCCCATTGATTCCCAAGCTGTGACCATCTGTCCCAGCAGCACATCCCCCATCCCATCCCTTGGCATCTCTGCTGTGGCACCTGGGGGCTCTGCCCTCAGCTCCGGGCACATCCCACCACCCCACTGCAGGAGAGGTTTTTTTTAGGATCACAGGTAAAACCCAGTCTTTTAAACACTCTCCAATCCATGAGGAGGAAAAAACTCTTGTAAAATTCACAGAATTATTCTGCCACAGTCCTGTTGCTCAGCTCAGCATCCTTTTTTTGTACACACTACCATTTGCTGTATCCAGTAACACAACCACATCCACTCCCCTCCTCAGCCTTCTGTGAGAAAATTCGGGTTTACACCCCTGTGGGTATGTCAGACTTTTGTGCAGGAGTAGCTGGACAAGGACCTGCCTCCTTCTCCTCCTCCTCCTCCTCTGTTTGTGCCGTGCTGGGCAGAGAAAAGGCTGCCACAGAGAAATAATAAAAACAGACACAGACAAAGCCAGTGCTGGGATATTCTGTTTCAGAGCAATGACAGAAAGTGGAGATGAGGATAAAATGAATAAACTACGGTTATTGATACTGTTTGCTTTGAATTAACACAGCTCTGCTCCACCAGCATGTCCCAGGTGGGTGGAGGGGCTCTGTTCTGGTGTTTCCATCCCCTCACTGGGGGTTGGTTTGCTCAGACCTTCCTTTTCAAACACCCTCAGCAGTTCCCTCACCCCCCCCAGGACTTCAGCCCCACAAATATTTGAGACCCCTCAGCGTCACCACAGAGCTCCTCAGCCCTGTCACCATCACCAGCACTTCTCTTACTGCTTCCTTGAATTCCCCTTCGCTTTGAATTCCCCCCAGTCAACCAACACATCTCCCAGGGAGATGCCCAATTCCCAGTGACACTTCACTGGGATCCTGCTACAAACCTGTGGATGCAAAAAAATCACGGACACGCCGGTGATCTGACACACGGAGACACAAAGGAGGCAAAGCAACCCCAACCTTGTCCTTGCCGAGTGACCCTGGGCAATTCAGTCCCCTCCAAGTATCTCAGTTTACTCTTTTTTATCACATAAAAATGCAAAACTCGCCTCTTCTGCAAAAATATTTTGGAATGTGCTGAGGGACAGCGTTGAGTTGAGGCTCCTTATTGTGATCAGGCACTTTCTGCAAACGGTGTTTTCGCAGCCCGGAAAACATCAGGTGATCTACTTAGAATTGATAAAGAGGGATGAGATACTCTGGGAGAAATAATTCATCACCTTGGAGGGCAGGCAGGAATCTGCAGGCACTGTCTGCAGACGTGGCTGGAATGGGAAATCAGCTTCAGGGAATACAAAAGGCCAAATTACCTGAGCACCTTGGACTCGGTGTCTCACCCTGAGTTTTCTGCATCCTAGGACAAATATTTCAGGGAACGACCCTCAAAGAGTGGCAAGATGAATCAGGCTTTTTCCCTTTATGTTCTTGTTTCCCTAGAAAGTAGGAAAAGCCTGAAAATGCTACCCCCTAATGGCACAACCGGGTGTGGGGTGCTGGCCTGGGAAACACTGATCTGGATTTTACCCACAGGGCTGGGAGTGGAGATACAGGGAATGGAAATACAGGGAATGGAAATACAGCAGTCTCTGCTGGTAAGATGTGCCCCTGGGAGGAGGAGAACTTGTGAAACCCCTTGACAGCAGCTGTGCCTGGAGTTATAGCAGGAATGGTGTAAAAATAGAGCCATTTTGTGGAATTCGGCTGAAATCAAACCGGAACAAAACAAACCCGAGGGTTCCACATCCAGTGTCTGGGATGTGGGAGATGCTTTGAGTGTGGCAGTGGGGATCCTGCCTGCTCCAGCTCCTTCAGGACTCAGGCAGTCCCTGGAGAAGTTGATGGTGCGTTGATGCCTCAGACCAAAAGGATACAACTGAAATCAGGAGGGAGAAAGAAAAAAAAGAAACAAAAAATACTTTAAAAGCGCAGAAAGTCACTAAAGGGCTTTTAGGATTTTAAAGGTTGTGGAGGTTCTCTGTGACACACATCTGGAGGGGAAAGGGGGTTCATCCAGTCCTCCAGGCAGGTTCCAGCTCCCAGGTGGGTGTGGTGGAGCAAATGCCGTGGGGGTCCCCTCTGAGGTGGGGGTGCACATTGATCCTGATCCTCAAATCTTGTGCAAACCTTTGCAAACCTTCCCTTGGACACTGCTCAGAACCCTCCACTTTCTTTGGGATATCTCAAAAGTAATGCTCTTAAAAGTAATAAAAATCCTACTCTCCTCCCTTCTGCTCCACTGTTGTCCTGCCCAGGAACCCCAAAACAGATCACAGGTTGAGATGATCTGCTCCAAACTCCCCTAATCACGTCCTGAATGACCCCTTTTCTTCCAAAGCTACAGCCTGACCTGGTCATCAGGGATTTCAGGACCTTTTCCTTTCATTCCACACCGAATCTCAGGTGGCACCTTGGGTGGTCTCATCACAGAAATGATGCAACAAGAGAGAAGAAGAATCAAACATTAAAACAGACCCTGTGCTCTGAAAAGTGCGAAAATGCAACGGTCCTGCTGCTATTCATTGGAGAATTTTTGGAGAGTCCTTGGCATTGTCAGAAGTGTGACACCAGCAGACACTGAGGAAGGAGAAACACAGTGGATTTCTCCCCCAAGAGGGAATGAGGGTGGTTCTCCAGTTATCCAAAGAAACGAGAAGTTCCTTCCTTGTGTACCAAGAGCCCTCGGGTTGTTCTTCTGCTCAGTGCAAGTCTTGGGAGAAGGAACTTCAAGGTGAACTCCACAAGTATTATTATTATTACTATTATTAATTCTTTTTTGTACAAGTGCTACAGCACGGCCTGGACACGTGACAGACTCCTGACACCAATCCATGATTTTATGGCTACCTGAGGCACCAAGAACATCTGCTGGGAGTGGGCTTAGGGTTGAATCAGGGTTAAAGCCACATGGAGCCACATTTTTGCACACAGAACAGTTTGGGGTGGAAGGGACCTTTAAAGGCCATCCAGTCCAACCCTTTTGGGGTGAACAGGGACATCTTCCCCTAGATCAGGCTGCTCAGATCCAACCTGACCTGGAATGTCTCCAGGGATGGGCAACCTGGGAGAGTGTTCTACAAGATAAAATCCCTCTGCTGAAACCCTGGAAGGAATCAATCACTGCTGGGGTGATTAAGCTTAAATCCTACACTTTTGCTGCTTGTTGGACTCCAGGAACCTCCAATTGGATCCACACTGGGAAGGCAAATTTGCAAAGAGCTCCCTACTCAAACTGAGCCTCTGTGAAGCCTCTACAGAAACAAACACCAAAAGTGGCCAATTCCTTGACAACATCCCAATTTGGGCAGAACTGAGCTCAGTTCCACACTGGCTGGCCCAGGCTGTCCCTCCACGGCTCTCCCCAGTCACCAGGCACACTGCACACACCGGCTGGGAATTTGTCAGGTTTTTTTCCTTTTTTTTTTTTTTTTTTTTGCTAAGTTTTTATTTTTAATTCAAGGACTTTGCTTCATACAAAATGTTAATTGTAGAAACAACTGCAGAATTCAAAGTTTGGCTGATAAATATTACTCAGGCAGCAAACTAGGCAATCACAACCTTTTTTTTTTTTTTTTTTTTTTTCCTTGCATTTTTGGTTTTTTTTTTTTTTGTTCCCTCCTTTTTATTTTTTTGGGTAAAGCTCCGCTTGTGTTGCATGGTCGGAACTTCGTTCATTTTTAACACTGTTTTTTTGAAATATAAAGTTTTTGCAACAAACCCCCAATTTATATCAAATATAATTAAAAATTAACAACTGATGAATACATTGTATCAAAAAAGTACGAAGATAAACATTTTTTTTCCATGCACATACTTTTTTTTTTTTTCTCGTTTCGTTTTATATATATGTATATATGTATATATTTTACATGCAAACATTACTTAATTCAAAGTACAGCCACTACGAGACTGGTTCTGGATGCAGAAAACTGATCGGTGCAATTCAAGTTTGGCAACTCACTATGAGGAATCTTGGAAATATTATGGATGCGTCGAAGAGACAGCAGAGAGGCTGCAAAAAAAGGCCAGGGAAGGGTTATGAACAGTTGTGGTCAGGCTTGGCTGTCACTGCCATCGACCCCTGCGAGGCGGGTGGAGGATTTAGACAACTTAAAATTCTTCTTCATGTTCTGCCTAAGAATTGGGGGTGACCCAAGGCCGTGTTTTAGTGCAGGGCTGGGGGTTTTGGGGGGTCTAAAATGGAAGAGGAAGGGGGGAAAAGACAGAATTATTCCGTACAGAAAGGCATCTCTTTTGCTTCCCATTTTTTTTTACAACGTTCGCATGCACGGGCAGAGAGATTTTGTGTTTCCCCTCCCACTTCAACCTCCTGGAGTAAAAGAGGAACGTTTTCTTTAAAACTTTTCAAACAAAGTGTTTGTGCCTTCGTTTAAGGGAGGAAAAAAAAAAATAAATAAACGTATCAAACATTTGGTCACAATCATGCTGAAGCCTGAAACAGGAAAATCCAGCAGATAAAGCTATGGGATGGATGAAGGTCTTTCTGACTGTGGGTGGTTTGGATGTGTGTCCGAACGTGTCATCTTGTTGCATAGCCCTCCTTTTGGGAATCCCAGCCCGGCCCACGGGGAGCTCCGGCTGCCACACTGCCGTGATTGGAAGTGCACAGAAAAAATACAGAGACAGAGATACAGACAGGAGTTCTCCTTCAGCAGAATCCAGGGATGAGATCGGCCAGAGGTTGTTATTAACGGAACGAAAGGAAAAAAAAAAAAAACAAACACAGAAGGAAACGGAAAAAAAAAAACCCAACAAACCAAAAACAGGTTGAATTTCCTCAACGGAAGAGCTACAGGAGACGTGAAGAACCACCCTACAGCAAACTGCTCCCTGCCTGAGGCTGAAAGGCTTTTGCTGAGAGCACGAGAGACCTCCTGAGCATTTTGGTAGCATCCAATACCCTCCAACCTCCCCAGTGCCAAACGGGATCACCGGGATCCAGCGGGATCTCTCCCCGTCCTAAGCAACCATTTCATCTGGAGAAGCTTCACAGTTCTGGGGCTTGGGAGATCCTCTGAAAAAATTCCTCTGTGCAACCCTCTCCTCTTTCCTATCAGGATGTGCTCGTCTGGCACCTCCCACCCTTCTTCCTTCCACCTTTATTCCTTGTGTTCTCTGGTCACCCTGTGCCCCAAAGCAGCCCTACAACAGCTCAGCAGAGCCAGGGATGGGAGGTCCTGCCCAAGCTTTGCTTCCAGCCTCCCTCCCTGCCAGCACAGCGTGTTTGCCCCTTTGCCAGGCTCACAGTGCAGAAATCCACAGGGGCACAGAAGAAAGAAATCATCCAACGCAAGAGTCGTTGCAAGAACACAGAAATCTCATCCCTGAGAATCAGAGTTAGAGGTTTTGATTATTATTATTATTATTCTTTTGACCTTCTCTTAACAGGCAATAAAACCAAGGCTCACTCCAACTGTCCTCCACACGGATGATGCCCCACGGAGCACGGCCAGAGCTCTCACAGTCCGGGTGAGACGCTGCTCCTCCTGCAGGAGCATCCCTGCAGATGCTGGGCTTTTCCACCTGCATCCCTCCCTCAGCGCTAGTCAATGAGAAAAGGCCGGGTTTGTTTGCTGCAATCACTCCCCTCCCACCGATAAAACCAAACCAAATCAAATCAAATCGAATACTAAATAATAAAAAAATAAAGGCCAACAAAACCCAAACCAACCCCAAAGCGTGTCTGCCTTCCCCGCTGGAAGCTTCCAACCTGGCACTCGAGTGCACTCTTGGGGCGGTGGGAGCCCCGTGGACCCTCCAGGGCGAGGGGCTCTCCGGGCTCTGCCCTCCCTCCTGCCCCTCCTGCCCTCCCCACGCTCGCCCAAGGTCTGATGCATCGAAGCAAAGAGGTTGCATCGTCACTGTGAAAGATTTCAAAGGTTAGGCACTTAGTAGTGAACAACTGGAGCATTCGGTAGAAACGGTGGGACCTGGAATGACAATTGGACTAATTCTCTACATAAAGAGTAAATTTTTTTTTTCTCTTTTTTTTTCTTTTTTTTTTTACTGTACAATTTACAAAAATGCACACAATGAAAAGTTAAAGTTCTATCTAATAGCTTGATATAAAACCAATAACATTTCTTCTTCTCACCCCTACGCTTTTTCCTCTTTTTTTGTTTGTTTTTTTTTTTTCCCTTTTTTTTCCTTCAGGATAATTTTTTTTTTTTTAAGTTGTGGTGGTTTTTTTTGTTTTTTTTGCTAAATCAAGCTTATATTGTAAACAAGACAAAACAGTGAGGGGCGTGTCGCAGAGAGGGGCGGAGTGGAAAGTCTCAGCAGCAAGGAAAACAGTCCTTACAAAGTAGCTCTCCTGTGGCTTTGTGGTGTGTCAGTGTGAAGGACCCGATGTGGTGGGTGGGGTAAGAGGGACCCCCACGGCAGCGCTGTCACAGCGGGGTCCCAGCTGCCGGGGTCACCTCTGGAGGGGGGTGGCACCAGCTCTGCCAAAAAGGAATCCCTGTGGCTGAACATCAAGTCCCAACGGACTGTCCTTTGTTCCGGGCTGTGTTCCTCCTCTCCCAGTTGCTCGGGTACATCTCTCCCTTCGGAGCGGCCGACAAGGCCGAGCGCGGGCGTGATCCTTGTCCCCGCGTGTCCTTTGCGACCCCCCGCTCCCACCCTGACCGGGGAGGGGAAAAAATGATGCTGATAAACTAACTGAGAAATAGCCCAACAAAAACTGCGCCGATCTCGGGAAGGATGGACAGTCTGCTCTTCCACCACCGAAGGTGAGGATCCCTCTTCGCTCGGCTTCTCGCCTCTGTCGCCAATTTGGCACCTGGTGCGTGTCTGTGACTAGACAGGGCAGTGGGGAGGCGGGCCAGGGGGGACAGAGAGATGTGCTGCCTTCCCCCAAAGGAGGGAGCCTTCTTCCTCCGTTTGTCTAGTGCAAAAAAAAAAAAAAAAATTAAAAAAGAAAAAAAAGAAAAATAAATAAAGAACAAAGAGAGGAGAGAGGCTGCAGGAGCGTCTCCGGCCCTGGGGGCGCAGAGCAGTTCTCGTGGCAGGGGCTGCCCCGCCGGCCTTCCAGATGATAAAACTCATCATAATTAAACCCGCCCGCCGCGGAGGGCTCTGCCAGGCCGCTAGCACCAGTCGTCCTCATCGGCTTCGTGGTAGTAGCTACGTCCTCTGGTGCCGGCGCCGGGGCCCGTGTTGAGCCCCAGCGTGTAGTGGTAGCCGTTGGGCACGCGGCGGATTTGGTGCGACTGGGAGGTCAGGGAGGAGACGTAGGAAGTCCTTGAGGAGCGCCCCGAGTTGGTGGCCACGGCCTCCTCGAAGGTGAGCGTGTCCTCGGGCGCGGCGCGCGAGGGGCTGTCGGCGTCGTCGCGGGGCCCCAGGTAGGGGTCGGAGCCGGTGCGGGCCACGGGCGGCGGGGGTGGCTGGTGCTCCCCGCGGAGCAGCGCGTTGTGCTCCGACAAACCGCGGCTCAGGCGTCCCGGGGAGAAGGTGGGGAGGCCGGGTTGGATACTGGTGAAGTGCACGGGCGAGGAGTTAGCGGTCTTGTAAGTGATGCTGGGGCGTGGGGTCAGTGGAGTCTGTGGGAGCTGCCTCCGACCCCGGCATGGGGTACTAGCACCAGATGTCGACAGCAAGGGGCTCCCATTAACTGAACCACTGCCCTACATAAAAATTGGAACAAAGCAAATCAAAAAATAAAAAAGGGGGAAACACCGGACAAACACAAAGGCAGGCAGGTGTAAAACAGAAGGAGAAGCAACAGAAGGGAGAGACAAGTCACAAGAGGGAAGAGAAGCAAAAAAGAGAGAGTTTAGACAAGCACGGTCAGGGGGAGGAGGTTCTCCAGAAATAATTCAACACGAGATGTAAAAGAGCTGGAGAGTTCAAAGTTCTGCGAGCGGTGAGTAAGGACAGGGAGGGGCAGAGCATCGGTAGGACGCAAACTGGGACACGGCTCCGACAGGAGGGGACACTGCCCGGGGGGAAGGACCCACAGCATACACAGGCTCCACATGCGCCTTACCTGGACTGGGCAGGAGCAGCTCAAAACCCTGCTTCGTTCGGGGCATTTTAGACAAAACCAAATCTGCTTTGGGGTGGGTTTGTGCAGAACTTCACCCAAGGGTCGGGCTGGTCTAGCGGGAGGGGTCCCTGCCCGTGGCAGGGGGATGGAACGAGATGAGCTTTAAGCTCCAGCTCAAACAGTTTTGGGGTTCTGTGATTCTGTTTCTGTGGTCAGAACTGGATGGTGTGGGAGGAGGATCTGGGGGACTGGGGTTTTTTGTACATTGGAAATTACATGTATTTTGATTAAATAGCCATTTTCTGAAAAAATAACAACGAAAAGCTTTTTGGGCAGGCTTGAACTAACAATTTCCTTTAACAGAAATGTGTCACCTTCTCCTCTTTTATATTACACATTTGATTTTTGAGTGGTAGAACAGCCTGGCAGCTTTCCTGGGTTACTAATAATGACATGTGAGAGTGACCTAAGCTGCAGTAATTTAAAAAAATGCCATGAGTGAGAGAAACAGGCCCTTGTTTTGGCATTTGAGTTTACATTCTCCCGGGGCAGTACATGACCAGCCCTGTGAGAGTGTTTTAAAAATCCCTCAGCCTTTTGTGACCTAACATTTTGAGACCAGACCTTTAATTTTTAAAGAGCAGTTTTCCTTCCTATCAAACAATCGGGTTGTTGCTTGTTGGGCTGTCAATCAGTGCTTGTTCTGCTCTGCCTGGGGTTTTTCCCGTGTGGTTTTCCTGGCAAATCCAGCAGTGCTGGAGGCTGCCTGGAGAAAAGGAGGTTCAGAGGGGACCTTCTGGCTCTCTGCAACTCCCTGACAGGAGGGGGGATTCGGGGGGGTTTCGGGCTCTGCTCCCAGGGAACAAGGGACAGCAGAAGGAATGGCCTCAAGTTGTGCCAGGGAAGGTTCAGGTTGGACATCAGGAGGAATTTCCTCATGGAAAGGGTTGTTAAGCACTGGAAGGGGCTGCCCAGGGAGCTGCTGGAGTCCCCATCCCTGGAGGTGTCCAAGGAAGGACTGGATGGGCTGGGGGACAAGGTGGGCATCGGGCACAGCTTGGACTTGATGGTCTGGGAGGGCTTTTCCAACCTTAATGTGATTCCACATTGTTTTGATAAGTACTGAGCTGCCTAAATTTTTTTTAAGGCATTTTCAAACTTTTTTTTAATCCAGGAAATGGTCTCGATAGTAAAAAAAATGGCGAGGTCTTTGTTCAAAACGTCCAACAAACCACTTTCTGCTGAAATATTCTGAACTTCCAAGACAAGAGCTGCCAGTTGTGGGGTCCCCCGGGCTGCTGTGTTGTGTTAGCAAGGATGCCCTTGGCAGTGGGGCCTTGGGCACATGGTGTGACTCCTGGGGATGGAGGGCCAGGAGTTGGACTCGATGATATTTTGGGTCCCTTCCACTTTGGCACATTCTGTGATTCTGTCTCTGAGAAGCCTCGAGTCCCTCACTCTGCAGGTGGCCGCTCAAAAGCCATCAAGTGACATTTCCATGCCTGTTTTAGGTGTGAAGCACCAAGCAGGACCCCGATGCAGACCCCAATCCACCCCTGCCTGGCCTCCCCTCCCCGTTCCGTCTCCGTTCATTTGAGCAAAACACGGAAAAGGCGCACAAACAAACCCCTGGGAGACCTCAGGGCTGCTGTCCCACCCTGCCTCTCCTCACCTGTCTGTGTGGACCTTGCTCTGGGCCCCCGTTGGGGGAGGTGGGCCTGCTCTGCTCAGCAGACTTGGGCTGGGAGCGCTCCCGGCTGCCGTAGCGGTCGCAGGAGTAGAAGCGCTGCTTCTCAGAGGAGGAGGAGGAGTGCTGCTTCCTCTCCTGGGACCGCCCACGCTCCTTCTTGTCCTTGGCAGAAGACTCACCGGCCTGGGCTACTGAAAGAAGAACGTTGGTTAGGGGTCACCAGCGTGAGGGGCTCCTTAGTGTGCAGCAGGGAGGTCCCTGTGTTCAGGTAGGACCCCAAATCCCACCCACCAGCTGGTGCAGGGAGGAGGACAAGTGGCCCCTCACTGTGTTGGCATTAAATTACACTGAGGAGCTTCGTGTTAGTAGAGGAGCTGGAAAGTTTGTCAGAGGCACAACGGTGGGGTGGGGGAGCCCAGCACAGCATTCAATTTGGAACAGTAAGATCCTGAGCTGGAAGAGATCCATAAGGATCATTCCATCCAACTCTTGGCCCTGCACAGTTCACCCCAACAATCCCACCCTGTCCCTGGGGAGCCTGGTCAGTGCCCAACCACCCTCTGGGGGAAGAACCTTTCCCTGAGATCCAACCTGACCCTGCCCTGACACAGCTCCAGCCATTCCCTGGGTCCTGTCCCTGCTCACACAGAGCAGAGATTGGAGCTGCCCCTCGGGAGAAGCTGCAGACCCTGGTGAGGTCTGACCTGGGGGCTGCACCAGCTCCATCAACAGGACCCTGTTGTGCTGATTTTGTCACCTCCTGTGGCCCTCACTGTGTGGGCACTAAACTATACTGAGGAGCTCCATGTGTGTCCTGCTGAGCCTGATGCTGGAGGAAGGCAGGGAGTTCTGCAAACTGGATGGGCAAAAAAAGTGTCAAGTCCTTCCCACTAAATACACTTCTGTAGACTTTTAAAATCCACACAGGCGCTGCCAGGAGGGAGGTAACAGAAAATGCCCAACAACAAGGCAGTCGAACTGGTGACAATTGAACATTTCTCTTTGGGTTAATTGATGAAAAATGAACACTTCTCTTTCGGTTAATTGATGAAAAATGAACATTTCACTTTGGGTTTGATCATCTTCCTGCCTTATTCCAGGGACAGAAGTCCCCACTGACACCAAGGGAAGTGGCAAAGCAATAAATCCCCTTTCCATAAATCCTGGCAATGCCCTCCTTAGGGTAACAGGGCACGCACAGGCTCCCAAAAAACCTCGGGAGGCTACACTGAGAGTCACTAATTGCTTCTTCATTACCAAACCCATTGGTTTCACTCCCTAAATTCCTGTGACACGAGGCCCATGGGATCACACACAAAGCCAGGAGACACTCACCAGCCTGTCCATCGGCCAAGTGATGGGCGGCCCTGTCCAGGGACTTCTGCTTCTTCTCTTTCCTGCGGTGGCAGCGGTGGTGGTGGTGGTGGTGCCCCTGCTCCGGGGGCATCCTCTCCAGGGAGTACTCGTAGAGGTGCATGGCATGAGGGCGCTGCGGGGTCAGCGTGGACACGGAGCGTTTCATGGGACTCGTGTCCGGGATGGGCTGCAAGGCAGAGGGAGGCACACGGAGCAGGGTGAGGGCAGGGCTGCCCCTGCCCCACTGCCTGGCACCCACCGTGGGCAGGGTCAGTGAGAGAAAGGGACGAGGAGAGAAATGGTTAATTGGATATAAGAGGAACGGCGGGCAGGAGGACTCGTGGGACGGGGGATCGAGCGCTGAATCGAGGGGCAGGTGTGAGCTCGGATGGCTGAGATGGGCTTTACTTCAGCAGAGTGCCAACCCCCGGGTACCACGAGCCACAGGTAGCACTTCACAGCACACACAGCGGCACAGGGTCACCAGGAGGGCAGCAGGGACACGGGAGGGCAGCAGGGACAAGGGGACAGCGCAGTAGCCAAGCGCCTCACAGAGAGAATCCTCCAAGACTAGTTTCACCCAAAGCTGCTTCAGGGCCTTTGTGGCCATCCCAAAGCATGAAAGCACTGCTGAGCATCACGTGGAGAGGGAGAAAGATCAGGGATAAGTGGGCAAGGGACAGGCCAAGCCACTGAGAAATTAATTCTGCCTCCCTGCAGATAAGACAATCCCATCCAACATTCCAACCTCTCTTGTCCCACCATCACTCCTTGTGGCTGGGACAAGCAGTGTGCATGTCCTGCAATTCTACCAGGACAACTCTAGAAATGAATACTTGGGTTTGGCATTCCCATTTTCCAATCATTTGTGGCCAAACCTCTGGACACCGAGCGCAGTAACCTGCCTTCTATGGCACTGCCCCTCCCTGTGCCAGGGGCAGCTCCAGACTCTGCTCCCTTCCCTGGGGGTTCAAAACCTTACAAAGATGCTCTGCAGAACCCAAGACAAGGTGGCAGGACAGGTATTCCCACTGCTCAGCCACCAGGTAGAAAGCTCAGAAAAAGAGGAGCATTCCCATGCCTCCTTCTCTGCTGGCTCTGTGTGGAGACAATGCTTCAGCCACCCTCTGGAGGCTTCCCTGGCTCTGAGGAGAGACCCCAGAGCACGGTGGTCCAGTCTGAGAGGGAAGGAGTTCAGGATGTTCTCTGTTCCCTCAGCCTCACACTTGTTTGAATTCACAGTCCAATAAGTGCCTCCAACAACACTCCTCACAGAACATTTACTTTGCTCACTGTAACCTTTTCCAAAGAGCCCTGTATTATTTTTACTGTCTGTTCTGTTTTGTTTGCTTATCCTGAAACTCAGCTCTCTGAATATCCTGTGATATTTACCCAGTGCCAAGCCAGTTGTTTCACAGCTCTGCTCCTTATTTTCAGTGGAAAGAGCCACCCTCCCTCCCATCACAGCCAGATTATCCTGGCTCTAAAGGTGCAATCTGGGCAGTTACCCAAATTTTGGTGCTTCCCACTGAAGGGCAGTTGTTTTTGTCACCTCTTGTGGCTCTCACTGTGTGGGCATTAAATTATACCGAGGAGTTTCATGTTTGTCCTGCTGAGCCTGAAGCTGAAGGAAGGCAGGGAGTTCTGCAAACTGGATGGTCTGATGGGCAAAAAAAGGGACAAGTGGAAGTCCTTCCCACTAAATACACTTCTCCAGATTTTCAAAATCCACACAGGAGCTGCCAGGAGGAAGGTACCAGAAAATTCCCAACAACAAGACAGCCAAACTGGTGACAAATGAACATTTCTCTTCGGGTTTGGTCCTGCTTCTGTGCTTCTGCCAGGGAATCTGGAATTCTGTGCTTATTCCAGGGACAGAAGTCCCCACTGACACCAAGGGAAGTGGCAAAGCAATGAATCCCCTTTCATAAATCCTGGCAATGCCCTCCTTAGGGCAACAGGGCACGCACAGGCTCCCAAAAAACCTCAGGAGGCTACACTGAGCGTCACTAATTGCTTCTTCATTACCAAACCCATTGGTTTCACTCCCTAAATTCCCGTGCAACGAGGCATATGGAATCAAACAAAAAGCAAAACGAACAAATAAAATAAATAAAACAAATAAAATAAATAAAACAAATAAAATAAATAAAACAACCAAATAACACCCTCCCCCCCCCCCCAGCTACCAGAGCGTGCGACGTGCAACCGTGGGTCGAGGGAACAGCAAAGTGGGGAAGAGGGAGCGGCTGCATTGGGCTCCAGATGAGAAGGGGGGGAAAAAAAGTAGAGGGTTCAAAGGCAGGTTAATCATTTCTTAGCATGAATTTAAGAGGATATACAACTTAGTGCAAACTACATACTGCCAGGTAACTCCCAGGCGACCGTGCTTTGCTCCTCTGCAAACAATTCGGACAAGATGAGAGACATTATTGGAAGCAGCCCCACAGTACAGCCATTGTCAGACATCACGGCAGATGGGCAGCAGACACCATGACGACCAGGGAGGGAGGGGATGGGGGCAGGACAGCAGACGGGGAGGTTGAAAACACGGGGAAGGTGTATTTTTTAAAAAAAAGTGGAACGTAAAAAAGACAGAGGGACGGCGGGCGAACACAAAGGGAGACAGCCAGAAACAGAAAGCGTCGCAAAGGAGAGTTAGAAAGAACTCAAAAGTTTGGGGAGGGGCAGAGCAGCACGTGAGAGAGAGGGGGGACGGGGGAGACACACACAGAAAGTACGTCAGTTATTCACCCAAAGCCACGTCCAGTATTATTTACACGTGTATTATTAAATGAGGTTAGATCTGCTCGGGGATTCCCGGCCTGATTCACAACCAGATGAGGCACTTCCACGAGGGGCAGCGACGCCCTGGGGGACACAAACCACACGCTTCTGCCAGGGACACTCCCTTCTGCAAAACCTGACTGCCACGGAGAGGAGTTTCCCAAGGAAAGGCTCGTGCTGCTGGCCTTGCTGCTGCCAACCACATCCCCCTGCACGGGAAGATGCTACTGGTGCTGCAGGATAAAGGATAACTTTGCTCTGGGAAGGGGGAAGGCAAGGAGGATGGGTTTGCTTTGGGGTCTGGTGCTTCTTTAAGCATGTTGAGGAGTGCTCCTGAGAATGCAGTGAATCCCAGCTCACACAAAGGCTCAGCTTCTGAAGCCAGCTGGGAGATTCCCTGCTGAGGGGCAGCCTGTGCCAGCCCCGGCACGCTGGCACAAAGATTCCATGTGCTGGAGCTGCTGCTGTGTGTGCAGAGCACAGGCTTTGAGTTTTAGGGTGCAGCAGCTCTTTCATGCTGCATTCTTCCACTTCTCTCCACGGAGAGCCATGGAAACAGCCCCCAAACCCAGGCTGCTCCCTCCTGATCAGGAATCAG